TGTGAAGCCAGAGTAGCTGAATGGAAAGCATAGCTGACTGAGAGAATATTTCCAGTTCAGCTATTTTGGCCTTATATTTGAAATAAACTTTGAATTCACCCTGATTTCTCACTTTAGTGAATAGCCATTTAAGTCATGACATTCTGCACGACAGTATTATAGTATAGTATAGTATTATATATTATTATATTATAGTATAGTATTGAAGGGTATAAAGGGTGGGCTTATGGAGCAGAATAAGTTATAATTATGACAGCTGTGATAACGAATTGTAGCCTCAACGCCTGAAGTAAACATTCAACATACTTTACATGGAATTCAGCTTTTATTTTTGTTGACAAACACAGCAACTATTCTAAAATAAGCAAAATCATGGAATAAATTTGTGTTCTGCCTTTAATAAATATTCTAATTAGATCTGGTTTCCACAAAGTGCAGTTATCATCCCATAATGTATTAAACTCTGATAATAATTCCCACATTCCACATAGATTGTTACATTTCCTTTCAGACAGTGCTACATATCAGATAGAGTGCTACGTTTCAGTTAGACGTTTGCACAGTGTATTTCCCCTTGTCACAGCGAATGTTTTTCATGAATGCATACACAGGAAGAAAAGCAGTTCTTCCACTTGAGCTGCAGCCTGGGTAATAGAGCCAGTTACTTCCTAGTTTTTGTAACAAGTGATCACAAGGCTGTGGGTGTTGTTGTAACAAACGTCTGAAACGAAACTCTGAAAACCAGGCTGAGAAACCAGCAGACCCGGCAAAATCTTCTCACACGAAGGGTTGGTAAAGGTGAGCATGCACTGCCTACCTACCTGCATTTGGAGCTAGCAAAGACATGATTAGAAATGTTTCCTCCGGAAAACAACCAGGAAGTGTAGTGTTCCACGTTCCCCGGGTTCTCTTCGCAGTTCCTGTGGCTCTGATTAGTTCGTCTTACTGTTTTATAAACAGAAGATGCACAGACTTTTGGGGTTGTAGAAACAACAAAAAGAGTTAAAGCGGGCATTGTCTAATGTAGACAACAGATTTATTTGTACACAAGCTAAGGAGCACAATATATCTTGTTAAATCATCTCATGGCAATGGAAAATTGGAGAGAGAGAGAGTGTGTGAGTGTCACTCTTTCATATGTCAGCAAGGAATAGAGGTGTCAGATCCACCGTTTCCCTGGACACATAACGCTTATACGTGTTGTTAAGCAGCAGAAGAAAAACGATGCCATGCCTTATGTACCGTTCATAGGCTGAAATGAAATCAACAGAACTCTCCAAGAACCATAACAACTACAGCCTGCTGTTGTAGTTATGGTGCAAGGCAGGGCCATGCAAGTATTTTTGGCTATATAGGCGAATATACATTTAGCTGCTTTCCCCTATCCCAAATGTATCTTCACCTGTGTGTCTATTAATCCCCCTTTTGAATTATTTACAGCCTTAATCCCCCTTTGTGTCTCCTATGCCCTCTTTTGAACGTCTTACCTCTTTAAGTGCATCTTATGCCCCTTTAGTGTATCCTTTGCCCTTCACAATCATCAGCACCTTTGTGTGACTTTTATGTCCCCCTAGCCACATTGTGTGTCTCTTACTCCCCCACACCCCCAACTCCTTTGCAGCCCCTTTCTGTGTCTTTTATGTCCCCCCATCCCCTGTGTGTCTCTTAACCTGCCAGTCCCTTTGTGTGTATCTTACCCCCAGGGCCGGACTGGGAAAAAAATTAGGCCCGGGCATTTTTCAATCAGAGCGGCCCCCTAAGAAGGGGGCGGGGCCAGAGAGAGGGTGTGTTTTGTCATCACTAATGACAAGCACGCCTCCTCTCAAAGTGAGCATGTTGGTTCAATGCGCAGAGCTGCGCTGAAGAGCTCTGGCATTAGAAAAAGGCCCTGTATTTGTTCTGCGCAGCGCAAGCAAATTTAATAACATGCTTGCGCTGTGTTTGCTTTTAAATTGTCTCTGGTGTCTCAACAAGTGGGATACCAGAGGACAAAAGGGCCAGGAAAGTGTATGGTGCATGTGTTTGGAGCCTGCTTGTGGGATTGCCTGTGTGTAGAGTGTGGTGTGGTATTGTGTAAATAGGTCAATTTCATTTGTGTTTGTGGTGTAATATGTGTGGCTAGGGGCTGTAGAGAGTGTGTGTATAGGGGGCATAGTGTTATAGGGGATGTAGCGAGTGTGTGCATACGGGCTGTAGTGTGTGTGTATAGGTGACGTAGTGTGTGTAGGGGTTGTAGAGAGGGTGTGTTTAGAGAATGTTGTATGTGTTTGCTGACAAGGAATGTAGTGTGTGTGTAGGTGGTGCAGTGTGTGTGTAGGAGATCTAGTGTGTAAAGGACCCAGAGTGTGTATAGGAGATTGTGTGTGTGTGTGTGTGTATAGAGGATTAAGAGTGCATATAAGGTAAGGGATCTAGCGTGTATCTGGAGTGTAATGTATGTAGTGCTGTAGTGTGTGTGTGTGTATATATATATATACATACATATATATATTTGGACGTATTGTATGTGTGAGGGGCGCAGTGTGTGTGTATGTAAGAGGGGTGCTGTGTGTGAGGGTGTTTTTATCTGCCGTCACATTCTAATTTTCTTTGTCTGTTAACTTACTGAGGGTTATTTTATATATTATATATATATATCTGTAAATATATATATATATATACATACATATATATATATATATGTGTGTGTGTGAGCGAGGGTGCTGTCTGTCTGAGGGTGCTGTGTGTGAGTGAGGGTGCTGTGTGTGTCTGGGTGCGCTGTGTGTGTCTGGGGGTGCTGTGTGTGCTGTGTGTTTCTGGGGGTGCTGTGTGTGTCTGGGTGCTGTGTGTCTGGGGGTGCTGTGTGTGTCTGGGTGCTGTGTGTCTGGGGGTGCTGTGTGTCTGGGGGTGCTGTGTGTGTTTCTGGGGATGCTGTGTGTGCTGTGTGTGTCTGGGGTGCTGTGTGTCTGGGGGTGCTGTGTGTGTCTGGGGTGCTGTGTGCTGTGTGTTTCTGGGGTGCTGTGTGTGTCTGGGTGCTGTGTGTCTGGGGTGCTGTGTGTGGGTGCTGTGTGTCTGGGGGTGCTGTGTGTGTCTGGGTGGTGCTGTGTGTGTGTCTGGGGGTGCTGTGTGTGTCTGGGGATGCTGTGTGTCTGGGGGTGCTGTGTGTGTCTGGGGGTGCTGTGTGTGTCTGGGGGTGCTGTGTGTCTGGGGGTGCTGTGTGTGTCTGGGGGTGCTGTGTGTCTGGGGGTGATGTGTGTGTGTGTGTGTGTGTGTGAGTGTGATTTTTTTAATTTAAATTTTTATTTTTTTAATTAATAATAATAATTTTAAAAAAAAGTTATATCCCCCCCTCCCTTCTTACCTTTAGCCTGGGAGGGGGGGAACCGTTTTGCCTGTGACGGGGGGAGCCGTTCTGCCGTGGGAGAGCCATGCTGCCTGATCCCTGGTGGTCCTAGTGGTGAGCGTGAACTCTAGCCTGTAGGCTAGAGTTCACTCTCGCGAGATCTGAGCGTTGCCGCGGTAACGCTCAGAATCCCGCGAGAGGACCCGGCGGAGCTGCTGGATAGAGCTCCGCCGGTCCTCTCCTCCCTCCCTCACACCCCAGCAAGCGGCCGCCTGGAAGTGTCTCTGGGCCGGTAAAGGGAGATCTTTGATCTCCCCACCGGCCCAGGGAGGCACTATGCAGGGCCGGCGCTTGGATAGCGCTGGCCCTGCAGGAGCCGGCCGGGGAGATCCTGTGATCTCCCCTGCCGGCCTCGGCCCCACGGCCATCGCGGCCCACCGGGCATTTGCCCGGTATGCCCGATGGCCAGTCCGGGCCTGCTTACCCCCAACTCTTTTGCAGCCTCTGTGTGTGTCTCTTTCTACCCACCAAGCTCATTTGTGCGTCTTTTTTCAAGCGACACAACTGATTTATTATTCTTCTGTGACATAAAAATGCCCTCTCTCTTTTTCTGCATTCTAAATTAGAGACATTTAAAGGGGACCTGTCATGCCCCAAACAATTTATGCTCATTAGAGTGAGCGTGACATTCTATCTATACATTGCACTAGCAGTTTTTATAGCAAATGTATAGATTAGGAGAAAAACTAATTGAAAATAGGGTTTTCTCCCAGGTGTCACACGAGTTCCCTCTGTTCTCCACCCATGCACTGTGGTTGCTATGGAAACTCCCTAGCCAACACTTCTAGTTAATATCGATTGGACCCTGGGCAAGCATTTGCTTGGGCCCCCTGTACCCTACCCTTAACCAAAGTTTCTTTCTTCTGTCCCAGGCTGGGATGTTTTGCGTATGGGACAGAACAGAGTGCGTACTTGTTGAGAACACATTTGCAGAATTATCAACAAAACTCTGAATAGTAATGAATTAAAAATTAAATGGCACAATTAAAAATTAAATGGCAAAATTAAAGGGTTACTCCAATCAACATGACTACTCATGTTATTTGAAGTTGTCACGGTGGTAGGAGTTTTGAAGTACAAATAGACAAAGTGATAAACACCAAACTAAATATTCATAAACAAAATAATCTTTATTACATAAAAAGCAATACACTAGTAAATAATACTGTAATACACAAATAATATAAAAAATAAGTGATAAAGGCTAATGGCAATAAACAATACAGATAATTAGCTGCAGAAACATACATGAAGACTTGGACATATGTGAAACTACAAGCCCAATGTTTTGGGACCAACTTTCTCAAGGGACAGCATCCCATCAGCTTGTATTTAGAACCCACTGGACCGTAGGGAAGCCACCCTCCTGCACTTAAAAGGTATGGAAGTAGGAGGTGGCTAAAATATCGAAATAATAACTTGTGTACGTCAATATGTATGTATATCTGTGTCAGTATGTGTATTTATCACTGTGTGTGTACTTGTTTGTGTGTATGTATCAGCATAGGCGTGCGCAGCCTATTGCATTAGGGTGTGCACCCTAAAGCACAAACAAACGCCGCGTGTATGTGTATGTATATATATATATATATATATATATATATATATATATATATATATACACATTCACTGCTGTGTGTGTGTGTGCTGTGTGTGAGGGTGCTGTTAGTGTGCTATATGGGTGAGGGTGTTTGTGTGTTTGTGAGGGTGCTGTTAGTGTGCTGTGTGCGTGGGTGCTGTTTGTGTGCTGTGTGTGTGAGGGTGCTGTTTGTGTGCATGTTTGTGAGGGTGCTGTGTGTGAGTGAGGGTGTTGTATGTGTGTAGGTGCTGTGTGTGTAAGGGTGCTGTATGTGTGTAGGTGCTGTGTGTGTGAGGGTGCTGTATGTGTGTAGGTGCTGTTTGTGAGCATGTTTGTGAGGGTGCTGTGTGTGTAGGTGCTGTGTGTAGGTGCTGTGTGTGTGAGGGTGCTGTATGTGTGTGGGTTCTGTTTGTGTGCGAGGGTGCTGTGTGTGTGCGGGTGCTGTTTGTGTGCTGTATGTTTGGGTGACTGTGTGTATTGTGTGGGGGCCGTTTAGTAAATAAGTGCTGCTGCCATCCCTGGTGGTCCAGTGGAGAGTGAACTCTAGCCTGCGGTGCTAGAGTTCACTCTCGTGAGATCTGAGCGTTGCCGCAGCAACACTGTGTGTGTGTGTGTGTGTGTGTGTGTGTGTATCTGTATGAGTATGGTTGTGTCAGTATGTATGTGTATTTATGTATACCTGTGGATCTGTATGTGTATATGCATTCAAACACCAACACAATACACAAATGCACACCTACATTAAAATGCCAACATTACACACAAATGCACTACTGCATGTAAATGCTCACACTAAATACAAACACAGCACTGCAGCAAATGGCAACCATACATACAAATACACTACTACATTCACACACATACTTCATACAAAAACATGCTTACATTCCAACACA